AGGAGGAGGAGGAGGAGGAGGAGGAGGAGGAGGAGGAGGATCGGCCCACCGAGGGAGGGCTGGCGGCGCCCAAAGGGGCTCCGCGCCGCCGTCGGGGCGGGGCGGTCTCCCGAGAAGGCGAGAGGAGAATTGGAGGCCAAACCTCGGGACGCTCGGAACTGGTACTGAAACAAATAGGTACGATGCCCACGCGCCGCCGCGGACGTTGTCCTTTGAACAAACAAACCGCCTGCCCAACAGTGGACGCTGTCGGTTTTGGACAACGTCTGGTGTTGGGCATTGTACCGAGTTTTTCGATACCCACTTCGGGCGCGCAAGGCACCGGTCCAGCAGGATGGCATCCCACGCAGCGCCGCACTCAAGGTGGTAGGGAGGCCTCGACCGAGGTCAAACAGTGGGCGAGGAAGTTGGGCAAAGGAGCCCCATGGTCGCCACTGCTCTAGATTGCCAGACTCCCGTCGTGTCCCGATGAGCCTATCAGGATTGGCACCTCGGACCGAGCGGCGGCCTCGACGTTGGTCGGGCACCTCAAGAATGATTCGAGCCATTTGCAAGTGAGGCTGGTCGGGCACCTGTTGGCAACAAAAAGAGAGAGGGGCGAACCATTTGCAAGTGAGGCCGATCGGACACTTGGGGGAACGCCCGAGCTCCCACCAAACGGGGCTGGCTGGGCGCCTCTCGGCACCCTGCGAAGCCTGCAGCGAAACCGAGCATGATGCTACCAACTCGTGTTGGTGTGCCGACAACCTCTGTTGCCAGCAGGACCAGCGCGCAGTGCAGCCGCATGAATGCACTGGCTCGTAGCCTGGGAGAGGAGATGCCTGCCTGCCCGCCCGGATGTGCTCCAGGCGAAATGCGAGTGAGAACCACGAGGGGTGATAGCAAGATGATGATGCCGATGGTCGCTTGCGCCCCATCTCCAGGGACGAGCGAGGGGGAACAAACGAAAAGTAATACTTCGACCGCGATGTGTGGAAGATGCTTGGCCCGCTCTTGACCAGCCGGGCACCGCAATCGCCGTGCTGGGGATTGAGAGAGGCTGTGGCATGTTCCAGCTGCTCGGGATTGAGCCCAGGACCCCCGCTGGGGTCCCATAGCCGTGCGGTGACGGACCGCGCGGTGACTTCGAAATCCCAAGAGACTTCACCGCGCGGTCCGTCACCGCACGGTCTTGGGACTTCGGAGGCCCCAGTCGCCCGAGACGTTTCGGATAACGACCCGAGTTCCAAAACCATGCGGTGACACCGAATCCCAAGTGACTCACCACGCGGTGTGGTCACCATCTCGTTTGGGGGCCCCCGACCTCGTCCTGAGCTGGTGGGGGAGCACGCCAAGAGCATCCCCCCTGCATTGCGCCGCAGACCTCGTGAACGTGTGCAAAGATGGTGTGGCGCTCAGAGAGGATCCACCGTGTCAATCCCTTGAGCTACCCTTCGGTGAGATTGTGTTTCTATTCGGTGAGCTCGTAACGCCCGCTACGGGATGTCGCCCCCCCCCCCTTACTCCCCCTCCCTGTAGCAGTACCGAGCGCATGCGGGAGGGGCTGCACGGTTCCCCACAGGCGTTGCGTGGTGCTCGCATGCAGGCCGTGGTGGTGGGGTAATGGGCGTCTCAAGCAGTGGCGAAACGTCTTGGCGTGTTATAGGCCTACCAAACACTGTTCTAATAACGTTTTGTAGGTTGCGCGAAATGTTCTTAGAACGTTTATGGTTGATATTGTCGTGTTTTAACACGTCGGGTTAATGTTCTAAGAGCATTGCTGGTGTTCTTAGAACATTGTTGGGTTCTAAGAACATTTCGTGGTAGGACTATAGGAATGCCGGGACGGCCGGTCCCTGCTCAAGCGTCACGGGTGTCGCTACAAAGCAATACCCAGCTACCTTTCAGTACTACTGGGCCGCGCACGCGAGCAGCCTCGGAGCGCGAAGGGCCGCCGCTGGCGTGGCCGCCTGGTGTGTGCCGAGGGAGCCAGTGTATGTCAGCGGTGCCGCAGCTGCGCGCGGCCGCGGCCGCTCGCCATGGCGGCAAGAGCACGGCACAGGGTCGGGGTGGAGTGAGTCGGCGGCGCGCGAGGGGGGGAAACGAGAAGGGGTAATTAGACCTTCTCAGAAGGCGACTGCGTTTCTCAGGAGCCCTCTGGCCTTCTGGGAAGTTTTCTGTGTCTTCAGGGAAGGCTTAGAATGCCCGCCCCCTCTCACTTTCCCTCAGGGCTGGCCGCCGAGTGAGGCCGGAGAGTGAATCAAGTTGGGTGCGCTCGCGCCATGTCTGGCATCTCATCCCTCCCACCCATCCCTTCCCATGGCCCTGATTTTTTTCTCCGCCGACTCGTGCCCTAGCGGACCCAAAACTCCAGAATAGACCCCATTGTGTTGTGCGCAATCGGAAACGGGGAGCTGCGTACAGTGGAGGAGGATGTGGCGGATATGCAAGAGTATGAGCAGGAGGAAAGGGAGGATGAGGAAAGAGGAGGACGAGGACGAATAGCACCAGCAGGAGCTTGAGTCGAATAAGTGGGAGGAGGCGCAGGAGGGGAAAGGAGGGGGGCGACAACGATGAGGAAAGACGTAGATCCAGAAAAGTTGGCGGCGCAATGGCGAGAGCGCCATTCTGAACGACGGGAGCAAACCCACGTTGCAGCGGTAGCGCCGTTTTGGCAGGATCGAAAACGTTTGACATGCAACAACGCATGAGAACATACATGAGAGAACACATCTGATCCTTTTCGAATCCTGCGTGCACAAAAATTACGAGGCGGGCAATTCTCAGGACGTCTTCGTGGGAACATGGAGAGTAATATTCACATCAAGCTGGGAGTTAGGTGAGCTCGCGCCACATCTGAAATCTTATCCCTCCCTCCCGTAATAGTTTTGCGGCAGAAGAGGCCGCCCGTGGCGACAGCCCGCAGTGTCCTTGAGGCCTGGCTTGGGCCCGCGTTGAGGAGGGAGGAGGGAGGAGCGATGGGAGGAACACGAGGCGGGAGGTGGGATCTGAGGAGCATGGGGAGGAGGCGACCACGACGACGACGACCACGACGACGCAGGCGACCACGACGACGATGACGACGATGCAGACCACGACGACGCAGGTAACGACGCCGACGCCCACGACGACGCCGACGACGACGGCGTTGGCCTGCGGCGGTCCCCAGAGGTCCCTGGAGTCCCCTGGCCTGGAGGAGGCGTGTGTCTCTGGAGGCGCGTGGTAGGCCAAAAGAAAGTCAACATTACTAAGATAATCATTTTTTCCAAAAACAAGAAAAACTGGTAAGCGGTCCTTAAATCTCAATCTTCGATTCTTGGTCGTAAGCCCTGGGCGCCGCGACGGGTCTCGCAGCCTGTCGCCGATCTATCGGCTGTGTGCCGCCGACTCCAGGCCGATTCCCCCTTGAGCCACTCCTCTCCCTTCTCGACCTCCCTCAGACGACGTCGACGACGAGTACGTCGACAGCGACCTCCCCGCCGCCGACGCAGGCGACCACGACGACGCCGCCGCCGCCGACGACGCCGCCCCTCACGAAGACCACGACGTCGAAGACGACGACGACGACGACGACGACTACGACGACGACGACGACGACGCCGACGACGCCGACGCCGACGCCGACGAACGACGACGACGATGACGCCGCCGCCGCCGCCGCCGCCGCCGACGACGACGACGACGACGACGACGACGACGACGACGACGACGGCGACGACGACGACGACGACGACGACGACGGCGCGCCGCCACCCACCCCACGCTCACGCCCACGCCCACGCCCACGCCCGCGCCGCCGACGCCGACGCCGAGCGCAGACGCTGCCGCTGACGAGAGCGACGAAAACGATGACGATGACGACCACCACCACCACCACCACCACGGGCCTCCCGCGCCACAGACGGGCTCCCCCGCGCTGTACGCGGACCTGGCGCACGCGGCCGGCCCGGCTGCGCGTTCCGCGCGCGATGGCCGCTGCTTGTTGGCCGGCATCGAGGTCCGAGGGTCGATGTTGTTGAATTCGTTGTTGGCTCTCTTTTGCGCTTCGATGGGCTTCAAATGGCTCATGTGGACCCAATTGCGCCGTCGGTCTTCGCCGACGACGTACCCAGAAGGCTCTGGCCCTCGCCAGACCTCGTACACGTAACCTCAAGTCGACGGAGCTCCGAACCCTCCAGACAGGGCGCCTTCCCATGACCGCGTTCAGGCTCGGACCAGCCTATCCTCTCGATTGGACGCCGCTGGGCTACAAGGCGAGGCGCCCCCCGCATCAGCCAGGAGGCGACCTTATTCACTGACTTACCCCACACTGCCGACTCCACAGGGCCCGCACATGCCGAGATCATCAGAGTGAGGGGGCCGAACGATCATTCATTGTCCCTGGGTGCGTGGCTGAATAAGGAATTCGTGGTGGAAATTATGCTTGTTGCGTTGTTGCTTTTGTTGCTACTGTTGCTGTTGTTGTCGTTGGTGTTGTTGTTGTTGCTGCTGATGTTTCTGTTGTTGTTGCTGTTGATGTTTCTGTTGTTGTTGGTGTTGTTATTGGTGTTGCTGCTGCTGCTGCTGCTGTTGCTGTTGTTGTTGTTGTTGTTGGTGGTGGTGTTGTTGTTGTTGTTGAACATTATTTATTCTAAAGAATAATTATTGTTGGGCCCCCTGGTGCGCGCCCCCCCTGCGCCGCCTAGGCCGCAGCTACATTTTCATCATTTTCGTGAGGAAGCCTCAGAAAAGAGGGTGTGTACAGGATCCGGTTGTTTTGTTGTAATCCGCTTTCCCTTGCAAAAAACAATAGAAAATGACATTTCTTGTTCTAATATAATCAAATTTCAAGAATCCCTTGCAAAAAATAAGGTAAAGTGGACATTCGCGCGCGCAAGACGAAATCCTTCCAAAACCTTAGTGTTCGCAGCGATTTTAACATAAAAACATCAAAAAACCAATGGTTTTTCAACAAAAAAATGTCAAAATCTCATCCCGCGCGCTCTTGCGGATTCGTAGGAAACCCAACACTTTTTAAACATTTCTGTCAAACGGGCTTTTGCGAGCAACTTTTTCGAACTTCTGCGACAACGGTTGCGCACCTGCCAGGGCCATCATCCCTGTCAAATAATACCATGCGGGACACATTCGTTTTTTCTTCGCGCGCGCACGCCGAAATCTCCAAAAACCATTGGGCTTCTTAAGAATTTTAGCACCGCGCATACATCCTCCTCCTCCTCCTCCGGCGGGGGGCGTGAGGATCCGGCATCGCTCACAACCATCGGGACAACCATCGGGACAACCATCGGAACAACCATCGGGACAACCATCGGGACAATCATCGGGACAGTCATCGGGACAACGATCGGGACAAGCACAACCATCAGGACAACCATCGGGACAATCATCGGGACAACGATCGGGACAACCACAACCATCAGGACAACCATCGGGACAACCATCGAGACAACCATCGGGACAACCATATCCTCTCTCTCTTGTGTATTCCCACATCCCTCAGGAATTTGCCCTAAAGATGTGATCAACTATCTTGTGAGTACGTATCATGTGTATCATGTGTATCATGTACCATATGCATCATATGCAACAGATGTTCTGTGGAAGGCTTAACAACTTCTGTGGGTTAACAAGGCTTAACAACTTCTGTGGGTGTACGAACGTAGGCTTAACAACTTCTGTGGGTGTGTACTCCACGCCAGTGTAGTAGCCACGGTCGTCCGCAGGCCACGAAGTGAAGTGTCCGAACGTCATAGGGCGGGAAGCTGGGTGTGGGTGGTGGCGAAGAGTCGTGTGGATATTTGGTAGAGCTTGCACTGCCCCCCCACAAAGTGGGGGTATTGGCTGGCGTCGCATGAAAACCCTGGCACTGGTGAGAACACTGAGCGTTCGGGTAAAGTGATTGTCGTTGTTGTTGTTGTTGTTGTTGTTGTTGTTGTTGTTGTTGTTGAACTCTCACTTCTGAAGAACAACTATTGCTGATCCCCCCTCACTGGTGCATACTGTGCGTTCTCAATCAAAGTGTGCCCCTCGACGCTCGCACCTTGTTTTTTGACAGGGAAAGTCTTGGTGCTCAAACTGTGCCCTTGGCCCTTGGGATTACAACAACAACGGCTCCCGCCTGAGACTTCCTCCAAATTTACTCAGGACCCCCGCTCCTGAGACCTCCTCACAATTTACTCAGGATCGGTGCTTCCGCTTGTGACTTCCTCGCAATTTAGTCAGGACCCCCGCTCCCATCTGAGACTTCCTCACCATTTACTCAGGAGCGGCGCTCCCGATTGATACTTCCTCGCAATTGAATCAAGACCCCCCGCTCCCGCAGGAGAACCCTTCACATTTTATTCAGGAGTTGCGTTCTCGCTTGTGACTTCCATGCGATGTATTCAGAAATCGCGCTTTCGACGCTCAGGAAACACGCTGCGCCAAGGACGCCGCTACACTTTACTTAGTAATCGCGCTCTCGCCATACTCAGGCATCCCACTTGAATGTCCCACCCGCCCGACCCGCCCGTCAGGGGATCGCCCGCCCGTCGTGGGCTCCCGCCCGAGATTTCCTTCAGGAACGGTGTTTTCGCCTAAGATGTCCTCGAACGCTCACGCTCTTACCTTCCTGCTCCTCCTCCCTCTCCTTCCTCCCTCCTCTCCTCCCTTTTCTCTCCCTCCTCTCTTCCCTCATCCTTATACCTCTCTGTCCTGTCCCCTCTCCCTCCTCTCCCTCCTACCTTCTCCCTCCCCTCTCCTGCCTCCTCCCTCCCTCTTTATTTCTCTCTCTCTCTCTTTCTTTCCCCCCTCTCTCTCTCTCTCTTTCTCTACCTCTAGGATCTCTCTCTCTCTCTCTCTCTCTCTCTCTCTCTCTCTGCCTCCAATCAACCGCCCCCCGCTTCGCTCCTTCTCTCCTTCCGTGTTCCCTCTTCGGCCCTCCCCCTCCTTTCCTCCCAGTCTCCCTCGTTCTCCCCCTCCTCTTTTAGCAGGGCCCACACCAATTCCAATGGCGGGCACATGTACGCCCACGAAGGATTGCCTGCCCGTTCAGGTTTGCCCGCCTGTCTAAGCCTGCCGCCCCCCGCAAAGAGAAATAATCCCCCAAAGGGGGGTGTGATCGAAGACAAAAGCGGCGGGTATCGAGGGTGTGGGGAACTCGTTTTGAATGATACGCAGGCAAGTAAGAGCGAACAGTCTTAGAATGATTGTTGTTCTTGTCGTTGTTTGCAGTCGTCGCACCACCCGCGACCCACCCCGCGACCCACCCCGCGACCCACCCGCGACCCAACCCCGCGACCCACCCGCGACCCAACCCCGCGACCCACCCGCGACCCACCCGTGACCCACCCCGCGACCCACCCCGCGACCCACCCGCGACACACCCCGCGACCCATCCGCGACCTATCCCGCGACCCACCCCGCGACCCACCCTCAAGGGAGGAAAAACCACCCGGACCCGACAGTTGACGTTTACTAAACGGCCCTGGGCGTTTACTAAACAGCCCTGCCCTGTTCGATTCAAACATTGTGTGCGTTTACTAAACGGCTTCGCTTGTCGGAGTGATTATTTGGGGGTGGATTTTCTGCCTTCGACACCCGCGACCCACCCGAGACCCAACATCGACACACCCGCGACCCACCCGTGACGTATTTGCGATACACCCGCGACCCACCCTTGAACTACCCACATTGGTTTAACGAGAAGTCGGCGCCTGCGGCGGGTTCGTTGTATGATTTGTGGAACTATGCCGCCTGCGGCGGGTGTCTCCAGAGTCTCGCAAACGGCCGGCGCCCCCACCGCCCCCTCATTCTTATTCTCATATGCGGGGTGCTACGTATGTTATCATCGGTATTTGTTGCTATTATATCGTATTCCTCTTCCTTGTCCTCCTCCGCGCTCCCTCCCCTCCCCCCTCCGACTCTTCCGAATAATTCGTTGTTGGTGTTGTTGTTGTTGTCGTTGTTGTTGTTGGTGGTGGTGGTGGTGTTGGTGGTGTTGAACACTATTACTTCTAAAGAATTATTATTGTTGGACCCCCTGGTGCACGCCCCCCGCCCAAAACCTAGGCCGCAGCTACATTTTCATCATTTTTCTGCGAAAGCTTCAGAAAAGTGGATTACCCCCGGATCCGGTTTTTTGTTGACGCTCGTTTTCCCTTGCAAAAAACAATAGAAAATGAAAATTCTTGTTCTTAGTTGATCAAATTTCAAGAATCCCTTGCAAAAAATAAGGTAAAGTGGACATTCGCGCTCGCAAGACGAAATCCTTCCAAAACCTTAGGTTTCGTAACGATTTTAACATAAAAACATCAAAAACCCAATGGTTTTTTAAGAAAAAATTGTCAAAATGTCCTTCCGCGCGCTCTTGCGGATTCATAGGAAACACACCACTTTTTAAACATTTCTGTCAAAAGGGTCTTTGCGTGCTACTTCTTCAGGTGCTTTGAACTTCTCCAACAACGGTTGCGCGCCTGCGAGGGCCACCATCCCTTGCAAAAAATGAGACGAAGTGCACATGCGCGCGGCCGCCGCGCGCGCATGTCGAAATCCTGCCAAACACAATGGGTTTTCAATAATTTCAAGATGCGATGTTCAGAAAACATATGAAAACGCACTACTTTCTCATCCGAAAAATCTCGAAATCCATTCGCGGTCTCTTGATGAATCTTTAAAACCCAAGATGGCCCCAACAGGCGCGCAAGATGGCCCCAAGAGGCGTCCATGAGGCCCAAAGAGGCGCCCAAGATGGTCCCAAGAGGCTTCAAGAGGACTCCAAGAGGCCCCCAAGAGGTTCCAGAGAGGCTCCAAGGTGGCTCCAAGAGACCCCCAAGATGGCCCCAGGAGGCGTTCTAGAGGCCCCAAGAGTCCGCCGTGAGGGTCCAATAAGCCCCCAAGAGGCCCCAAGATGGTTCCAAGGAGCCCCCCAAAGGCTCTCAAGTGGACCCCAAACCGCGC